TAATCACACGCCCGCAAAAATGTGCATTATTACACGGGGTGTCGAGTTGCATGAAAGAAAGGGAAGGAGATGTGGAGTGAGCGAAGAAAGTGCGGCTGACCGGACACGTGCGATCGCGTACCAATCACCCAAAAACGAGCTGCAACTTCTGCTGCGATGTTTAAAAAATAACTTTAATTAAATGCAAGTGACGTTCCTTTTCAAAATTGTAGGTTGAATGGATTGAACATGAGTATTATGTGAAATAGCCAGTACGCTTTATTCTTACAATACAGAATTAAACAGAAAGCAACTTATTGACAACATAATAAGCATTTAAATTCAGTGAAAAGATACATGAACCTTTAACTTTCTGTTAATTTCAAACTACGAAAATTTTAAGAAAATTTTAACAATCTTTATAATTTACGGGCGTAAGTTAAAGAATTGCTTAAAAAATGTATGCCACAATGTATAAATTGCTAATGATATAAAAATGAAAATTGCAAAGCACAATAGAGAAATTGCAAGTGTTTATCTCTTAATTGTCGAATTTGATAGGTTTTCTCTGAATACTTTCACCAATTTTTCTAATTGTTTTTCCGACGCAGATTTGAAGAAAAAGAACTCAATGCCAATCATCAAAGCACGCGGAAAAGCAAATTATGTAAATTACACGTTATACCGTGTATCTTGCGGAGCAACACCGTGTGTTTGTTTTATGCCATTACACGAGTTCGAGTCAAGTTGGATGATCGATACTCTCATGAAAACTCGAGTCATCATAAATTACATAGGTATAATTAACTTTTTGAAAGTACGTTCTTCTCGTCTTACAGTTTCATTTCAATAGGGATGATCGATATTTGCGTTTCGCGACATTTACCACAGAAAACCTGCAACTTCTTGACTGTTCTGCTTTGGTACGTCTGTTCACAATCGACCAGCTTTACGATATTATATAAGACCGAATATATCAAAGTCAGTGGAATATCAGTTGACAAAGCGCGCAGAAGTCGTTCGTTACATCAGCAGCGATTAGGGACAATCGCGAAAGCATCGGTCTTGCCTCAGGATGTACCGTTACTCGGAAACCGGTCGAACAATCGTGGCAGGCAGGTAAAAATAGTAGTGTGGCGAATTAATTGCCGCGCGAAAGGAGCGGCGGGGCAGCGTGAAAGCGCGATTTTGTCTTACTTAATTCATTGTTTTTTTTTCCCTTGCACAACCGCGACGTTCGCGCTTACGGCTAAGTCGTCTTACGACAGCGCCGTCACCCATCCCGCCCGGTATAATAAACAGTTAAGTCGCGAGGGCGAGTCATTACATGCCCGCATTATGCACTCGCTCTAAATGACGCGACCGTGCTAGCACGATGTTGCCTCATCGCCTTATTGTCATCGTCACGCGAGCATCCACGTGACGGTTTCTACCGGACGCGCAAGTAGACTTTCCACGGCAAAGATTCGAAGACCCTTTGTCTTGGACTTTCTTTTAATAATATCATCTCTTTTATGACACAAGAACGTTTTGAAAAATCTGGCGTTTACTTACTAAAACTTGATCCAAGTTCCAGCATCGTGGCTTTAAGAAAGTTAGCGCGCCGATTTTATGATCGAAACATGCAGTGTTATTTGTGTGTTGTAAAATTGAAATATTATATATCATATTAAAATATAGCTGCATAAAATTTGTACATGTTACTGCAACATAAAATAGCGAATCTAATACATGTGTTCAAATCTAAACTGGTAATGAGATTCATCTGTTTTCCTATTTCCAATATTGTTTTGCATATACCTAACGAATGTAAAAGGAATTTTTTTGTAATCTTACATACGGGAATGTATCGCATATCTACATATTAATCGTATTTCGATGTAATCAACGGCGAAACGTCAATCAGTAAATTAATGCTGTCGACAACACGCAGATTACAGACTCTCCTAGCCGATAATTTTCAGAATGAAAATGTCTTATACGGCATGACTTACAGAACTGGGCCATAATAAATCGTTATTTTGTCGACTGGCGGATAAATTTCGTAGAATCGGTGTTGCGCGCGGCAAAATGGCGAAATGCAGCACGGTGGTGCGCACCATGACTTTCTTCGGGGTATAAATCATTCGGCAGTCGGAATGGTATTTCTCGCGGTGCGTTACGGCCAGCGATACGGCCGGAAAACTCCGACTTCGACGTTCGTCAGCTCGACGTCGATCCGACTCGATCGGACAGATCGGAGGCACTCGTAGTTCAATACGTGCCCCGTTACATCATTCGCCGTATAACACGTAACGCTTTCGATGGAAAAAAAAAGATTAACGAGCGCACGGCGCGCATTTGTACCCCGATGCAATTTCGCGGGGTTCGAAACGCGACCGATCGTAGAATTGATCGCTCGCATTAAGTCAGCCACGTAATCTCAGAATGAATCAGAGTAGAACGATCCAGAGTGATTTGTGTTACCGAAAGGAACAGGCAAGCAATTATAAATATAAAAAGATTCCATTAATTAACGAAAAAATTATTCATATGTGTCACATTTTGAATACATTTAAATTTAGAAAATTATTTCTTCAAAAGTCAAAGGCTTCAAATATCTTTAAATAATATTAATTTTGTTAATTTTATGTTATTATAAAAGCTTTTTGATCAAAAGTCATTTTCATACATAGTCTCGAATTCGGTGGAAACGAATTATTTCCAAAAGTTTGATTAAATGATTTAATCATTCTTTTATTGAACCTTTTAATTTAACAAACACCTATTGGGCGCATAACATAAAATACGCCAGTAATATATATTCTAGATTGTAGCAGAAATTTTTCGCGGTTGTCGCAGTAACGATCGATGCTGCGAAGTGATTACAATGAAAGAAAGCGGTTCGCCAAAGAAGTAAGAAAATAGTTTCGCTTTGGTGTAAGAACGAAAGGATGTCGGTGCCATTGCAAAAAAAGCTGCACAAAATTGTGTTCCGATAATAATCGCGAAGAACTTCTTGTTGCAAGTATTGAAAAACGCCATGTCCTGTCGACGAAGGTCATACATTTGCATTGATTTCTCGCATAAATTGTATTGTACTAAAAAAGTACATTACGTTTACTCCGTATAAAGATAACATTTAAGTCCGATACAATATTTTGTTGGATTAAAGATGTGAAATTTATATAAAGTAAATGTATCTGATTATTTAGAAGACAATTTTAAACTCAATACTTCAGGGCTTAATCAAAATTAATATAATATTAATAGCAAAAATTGGATAATAATTCTAGATCTATATCAATAAATTAGAACGTTATCGAATCATTATTTATCGTAATCTTATCCGAACAAGCATTACGATTGGTAAAACATGAAATATCATATCTGAAAAATCCCGCAAAATAAATCTCAGACAGCGGCGACTGATCTTTACTAATAGCGCATTCTATCGTAGCATGCCTTTGCTAACTTTAAACGTGACTACAATGCGCAAGTGGTTTTCTCTTTTTTTTTCATGGAATTCTGTATCGAAGAAGCTAATCTGATCGCGTTGTGCAATGACGAATTAATAAAGATACTTTCTGAAAACAGTAATAGCCATTAATAATTATCCAATTACATAGAAATCAATCAGATATTTAAGTTTTGGTCACGAATACTATTATAAAAAATTGCCTCTGTTGAAAGCGCGAAATATTGTTTTAGAACTTAATAATTTCTTATTAATTTTGTAGAGGTATGTTTGTTTTCGAAAAGTGCAAGTTATGTAATTACAGTTTACTTAATATTTAAAATCGACAAAAATTACAATATGTAAAACCTGTGAAGAATTAAAAATATCAAAGGAGTACGGATTATTTCGCGACTAAGAAGACGTACGGGATCTCTTAAATTACAATCGGCGTTTGTGTACCTCTCTAAACAAGAATGCCATTTTATATCTGCGCAGGAATGTCGGGACTTCATCGAACTTTCACGTCTCGTATTCAAGTGCACTTATTAAACCTAATCTAAATCTGACAGTATTGCGAAAAACTCTGCTGCTTTCTACTCTACTCGAAAATAATTTCCGCTCCGCGAACGATAATATTCTGATTTTCTAAGCTGCAACCGATCTATCGCGAATGTATAAACATTGCGCGAATACAAATCACGATGGAAAGTTTGAAAGACCTTGCGTTATCGCGGAAATATTCGATTCGAGTGTCTCGATTTCGATATAGGTACACACGTAGCTTTTCATGAATTGCTGCAAATTGAAACTCTATTAAACGTAATACGTAACGAGTTGGAATTACTATAGTCAAACTTTTCCTACTTCTTCTGCATCGTATTCTCACACGACTGATCAGTGCCGGAATAGAAGCAGAAAGACAGCTCGTAATGATAGAGTTACGCCACCGTACGTAACTTACGACAAAATAATGATATATCACACGCTGGTCGTATAAAATTCGCGTGTAACAAGGAACTTACTATTTCGCAAGTTGGAAATCCAGTGTATCACAAATAGAAGAATAAATGCCTAGACACGAGTTCTGTTTTATCTTTCGTGGCTTCTCATTTGACATTTTCCTGGAAAGTCATTTTCTGTTGCAATTGAGTTCATTCATCTATGAAACGGATAGCTAACAAGACTTTGCGCTTTGCAAATTAGTGCTGAATTAAGAACGCAATTTCTCAGAAATAATATCCTACAATCGTAAATAACTATATCTAACGTTAAGAAAAGTCTCAAAGAATATTATTAATGTTAGATAAAACGTTTGTCTTCAATCTCACTATGTCACAGTAACTAAATATCGAATCCTATGAGAACGACGTAAGCTCATATAACTTTTGTGTGTGCATTAAATTCATGTATATGTAAGGCATATTAATTGTATCTTACTTATACGACATACATATATCTTGCTTAAATGGCCCGACTTGCTTCTTGCACTGATTAGATTGAGATCCATTTCTGATTGCTTCTTCCTTGATTGAACTGTCCAACGAGATTTCGCTTTCATTCTAATGTCATGTATTTGTTACAGGACGTCAAACAGCATCGGCGGATCAGTCATCGTCGTCCTCCTTCTGGAGTCCCAGCCTCAAAACTGATATCTTCAGTCAGGACAACAGTGCAACTTTCTTCCCTACAGCCCATGGCCTGGTGCAAACCCACCCGAGCAGCAGTAGTATGTTCCGCAGCGGTTTCGGCGGGGTCGACAACCTTGGCACACGGGGAGCGACGATGAGGCCGCCGAGGACGCGGCCCCTCAATTATAATGAACGCGCTACCGCCGAATTGCGCCGAAATCCGTCGCTCTCATCACCTGACGAGTGCGCTCGCGCTTGCCGTGAGGGCGAACCCCCCAGGATATGCTATTATCACTTCACGCTCGAAATATACACCGTACTCGGCGCGTAAGTACATCCCTGCGAAGTGTCTTGAAATCATTTTTAATGAAGGAAGCTGTAAAGTGATAATAACGTTTTTCTTATAATAAATCGAAATTTATTATATATATAAATTAATGATATTACTTTGACTATTTTTATATAGTATTACTTTAGTTTATATTGTTTTTTATTTTATTCAATAATAATAATAATATTGTTTCTGTGTATGGTCACAAAACAACGAAATGATAATTCTTACAAAATTACTCTTTTTAATCGAGAAAAATAGATTTTTATTCGTAGAAAATAGTTGAAACTAACAATAAGTTCTATACGTCTATACAGAGTTGCAATTTTTTAGGATATACATATGTATATGTATCATTTAACTTTCTTAACACCAGTATTGTGTAAACACAAATTTTTAGAGCGTGTCAAGTGTGCACACCGAACGCTACCAACTCCGTGTGGAGCGATTGTCAGTGCGTTTTAGCGGACGGAGTGGAGCGAGGTATCCTGACCGCGAACAGGATGATCCCTGGACCGAGCATTCAGGTGTGCCAGGGTGACAAAGTCGTTGTTGACGTGGAAAATCGTATAGGAGGAAGTGAAGTCACGATTCACTGGCATGGCGTATGGCAAAGGGGATCTCAGTATTACGACGGTGTACCTTACGTGACGCAGTGTCCCATTCAAGAGGGTAATACATTCAGGTATGCACACAATCCTACATATATTTTATTAAATTTACCATAACTTGAAAAAACTGAAAATTTTATTTTATGCTTTAACAAAGAATTAAAAGAGATAACAAAATTTGTATCATTTTGAAGTAATATATAATAACTAATTATCCAAGATGTGTTTTCATACATGTTTTTTTCTAACATTAAGAGTTTTATACATGTACAACATACACATGTATATGTATTGTATAAGAAATGTGTGAAATTAAAATAAAAATTTTTTATTCATAATAAAAGAATTATATGGCATATGCAGGTATCAATGGACAGCCGGAAACGAGGGTACACATTTCTGGCATGCCCACACTGGCATGCAAAAAATAGATGGTCTCTACGGAAGTATAGTAATACGACAGCCACCGAGCAAGGACGCCAATAGCAATCTTTACGATTACGATTTAACCACGCACGTAATGCTCATCAGTGACTGGTTCCATGAAATGGCTGCCGAACGTTTTCCTGGCCGTCTTGCAGTCAACGTCGGTCAAGCACCTGAAAGCGCGTTGATCAATGGGAAAGGTCAATTCAGGGTACGTCACTTAGCATATTAATAGAACAGAGAACAGTGTTATCTAACATCATTAGACAAGCACGTTTCAATTTACAATTTAGGATAGGAACCTTGACAAATCAGATTCCGAATATAAATTGCGAATGAAAATTAATATTCTTCAGACATTTCGCGCAACATGTGAATTATTATTGCAAAAAATTAATTTATAATCACTGAACTGATATTTCTTTATTTTCTAATATTTTGGTGCATCAATAGCTTTTCATTATTCTAGGATCCTAACACTGGTTTCATGACAAACACGCCTCTCGAAGTGTTCACGATAACTCAAGGCCGCCGTTATCGATTCCGATTAATTAATTCCTACGGGTCAGTATGCCCCTCACAAATTTCAGTCGAGGGTCACTCTCTCACAATTATCGCTACCGACGGTGAAGCAGTGCACCCAGTACAAGTGAACACTATAATTTCATTCTCAGGTAAAACAACTCATCCAAATTCATTATAATCTTTTTACTAAAGTTAAAGAATTATCGAATAAATTAGTTATAACGAGACAAGCAAAAATATTACTATTAAAAAAATAATGAATATTTCGATATTAAAACTGTTAAAGATTATAAAGAAACTGCAGCGTGATGAAACATGCTATAATTGTACAAGTCAAATAATAAGTTTAAAATGTCATTTGGCAAGTTAAACACGTTGAATCAAACACGTAAATGTTAGATTTAAAAAATTATATCGAAAAAGATTATTTGTCTGTTAGATTTTATTGAACACAAACAGCGCTTTAATCGTGCGTTCTTCACAAGGCTGATCAAAAGTTGATGCCATTGTCATCCTGCGCCAAGTGCCGTATACAGTTTTACATTCTCTCTTAGGCGAACGTTACGATTTCGTCATAAACGCCGATCAGCCTGTCGGCGCTTATTGGATTCAACTTCGTTCTCTCGGAGAATGCGGAATTCAACGAGCGCAGCAGTTGGCTATTCTGCGATATGCTCGTGGTCCTTATCAACCAAGTACTCAACCACCTTCATACGACTTTGGTCTTCCTCAAGGCGTTGTAAGTATATACATTTTATTTTCTGCTTAAAAAATTATCAAAGCTGCACGTGTCATACAGCTCTTTATTTGACATAAATTAAGGACAAAATTAAAGTTATCACATAAAATTCATCAACATCCAATTTCTGTGATCTTAGGAAATCTTATCTCAGCACGCACTGCCATCTGTGCGAATGAGACAAGTAAAGTAGCTTTACATAGCTCTAAAAAATAAACTATATTCTTTTTATTTAAATTTAAATACTATCTGTACGCTTTCAATTCAGATATCAATTTTAATGTAACTTGTACATGAACAAAACATAATAGAAAAAGATTTGAATATTATCTTCAAACGATACAATAGAGAACTTCCTAGTCCATATCAGATACGGAAGGAAAGATGTGTGTTGAACATTAAAAAATATTATAATATAGGAGGAAACAATTCTAACAAACTGAAATTAAATTGAAATCGGTGAAAAGTCGTAAACATTTTTATTAAGAAATCTATTAAATAATTATAAATTATGATTTAGATTAGATGCCTCTTAATAAATTAACAAAGATCAAGACGCATACAAAGGGCGAACTTTCAAGCATCTCTTTTCTTCAGGTCCTGAATCCTCTGGATGCCATTTGCGGCCGACCGCGCGAGGATGCGATTTGCGTGAGCCAACTGAAGAATGCCCGCGGCATCGATAAGGGCATTCTGCAGCAACGCCCTGACGTGAAGATCTTCCTGCCGTTCCGCTTCCTGTTCTACAGACCAGAAGAGCTCTTCCAGCCACAGACCTACAATCCCTTCCTCGGTAATAGAGCGCTAATAACTATTTTAATTCGCAAAAAGGAAGTAAACGCATCACACGATGATTGGCGTAGACACTACACACTTCTTAGGCTTTCTTAGAAATACGCGCTCTTTTGAAAAGGGATACAATCCAGACACGCGTTGCTTGCAACATCATGCTATTACTGAAGCTACACGAATTACGCGGGATACTTCGCTGTTAGATTCTTCACGAAATACATTCGCGAATAACGGTATCTTTTCTTCGAGACAATTAAACTTGATATAACAAGTTCAATAAAGCACAAATCACTTTGTGTTTGTAATATCAAAACGTATGTAGTGTTCTGGAACCACCGTCGCATTTTGCAGTCGCACATATTTAATTTAAGATTTTTAAGTTTCCTTAACAAAAAATATATAACTATTTGTGATACGCAACTTTAACGTTGTTTCGTTTTAGAGTTAACACATTTGACATTGATTTAATATACGGGAAATAAACACTGTATAATTTCGATGTGTTCGCAGTTGCGCCGACCGGTGACCACGTAATTTCTCTCGTGGACGAAATCTCGTTCTCGTTCCCGCCGGCGCCTCCGCTCTCTCAGATCGACGACATCCCACCTGAACAATTCTGTAATGGTGATAATAGACCGGCTGATTGCGGCGCTAACTGTATGTGTACGCATCAGGTTGACATTCCGCATAACGCGGTTGTCGAGGTGGTCCTCGTAGACGAAGGTATGTACGTCGCTTTCGCTATGATTACTACACTCGCTGTCTTCACGCAGACTATTCCGGCATTGAATGAAAAGATACACATCAAAGGAATTGCGCTAAGAGAAAACACGTAAAATTTTCAAATTTTATATTTTTATATTATTACAACAGTCCTAGAAATTCGTTTTCATCACAGCACCATTTTCTCGATCGTGAAGCAAATTTGTTTCAATTATATTAATCTTATAAAACTACGTAATCGTGTTTTTCCGATTACAGTCCAACAGCCCAACCTGTCGCATCCCTTCCACTTGCACGGATACGCGTTCAACATCATCGGTATCGGCCGTTCTCCCGATAGGAACGTGAAGAAGATCAATTTGAAGCACGCCCTCGATCTTGATAAGCGAGGTCTCCTGCACAGACAGTTCGACCTGCCACCCGCTAAGGACACCATCGCTGTTCCCAACAACGGTTACGTCATCTTCCGCTTCCGCGCGAACAATCCGGGTAAGTTAACAAGGACAATTGAAAACTTTTCGCGCGATAGTCTCCGATGAGATGCAAACAGCTTCCGTTCGTGGCTCGCTCGCATAATTACGAAAGTTTGCACGGCACATCTGCATGCGCTGACCTACCTCTGTTGTGAGTTTTGTCCAGTTATACTCCAAAGTCCAGTCAACTTCGTACCGACTTGGCCATTTTAGAGATGAATTTTCGCAAATAGACATTTGATAATAAAAGCTATCAGCAAAACTATTTTTGTCCAACGAAAATCAATTGCGTTTCGATACAAAAGACATTTGCGATGCTTGAAGTAGATTATATTGCATGATAAAATGTTGCGGTTTAAACCGAACGAAATTATTGCTCTACATTTGCGAAGCTAACAAGATTAACCGTGACATTAATCGGATCAATTATTATAATTGTAATTCTGCAAATTTCAAACGATAAAATCAATAATTACTGCTCTCGTTAACTGCGGTACTAAAATTAACCATTATTACTTTGACTAAATTGTATCACCACATTGTAGTGTAAAATAATCGTCGTGATCAACATCAATTATTACTTTAATATCATACGCATAAATTAACATCGAGTTTCTTTGTAGGATACTGGCTGTTCCACTGTCACTTCCTGTTCCACATACTCGTCGGCATGAATCTGATTCTGCACGTCGGAACGCACGGGGATCTGCCGCCAGTACCGCCGAACTTCCCGACCTGCGGTAACCACTTGCCGCCCATCACGCCACCGCTGTCACTGTCGGATCACGCGTCGTTCTTTTGATGCGTGAGCGACAAACTCAAAAACTGAGAGAGGGAGACGCTCCAAAGTCCATACGATACTTGTAGCATATTCCTGTAAAGTAGAGAGCCTGTAATATTGATTTCTTTTTTTTTTCAACTATGCAACCTCGTCGGCCGTTCTCGAGAGCGTGCTCTCGGCTCGAGAACGGGCGAGGAATCCGACGGATGTCGATCCGCTGCCCCGCGAGAGTGGCTAGGAGCGCGCGAGACGATGAGGGAAGTCAGATGTTGAGGAGACTCGCGAGGCAACGGGTTAACAAAAGGTTCGATCGACGCCCCGCTGGGCATCGCGAAACGACGAACGTTCTCAGAGGTAACAATGACTTTAACGTTGAGAGGTAATGTTGGCGGTTGATAATTTATTATGTTCCAGATGCTTCACCCATCACTGTCATTTATGCTATGTCTATTACGCGTCACCCTTGTTACTTTTGCTTGTCACGAATTTATCGCCGGTTACGAATCGCGATCCTAAAATCGTGACCATTTGTTTCATTGTAAAACGTATCGCGGGAAATATTTGGACATGTCTTCTAGAAACGTTTAAAAAATATCTACTGGTTACAGGCCTTATCCGTAAATTATTGCGCAATACGCACGACGAATCCGCGAATGCCGATGTGGCGAGTGAAGCATCTCAGCGGGAAACGTACAAACGTTACTGGCTAACGTTTGTAACGCTCTGTAAATAATGTAGAAATAGTCACTATACTTAACGAGATATTAATGTGGAAGTAACGGGGTACGTAGCGTAAGGGGGGCATCGCCGAGAAGCCGTGATGGCGGTCCAGGCGAAGGATTATCACTTGGATAAGATGCCCTTCCAAGGCTGGATCTGTACGATCACGGAATCCGCGACTATCAAAATTATTTAAGAACCCTACTATATCAACCTTGAAACAATTACTTACAAAGATAAAAGTTATTCTTTCACGTATGAAATACAATATTTATTTAAGCTAATAACAATTAACTCTAAATATTAATTGTAAATTGTTTGATTTTATTTTCGTTGATCGATCTATCATTTTAATCATCCTTGCGACTACGTTGTCATACGCTTCACGTTGTTCGTAGCTCGGAGCCAGAAATGATAACAGGATACAATAACTTTGTGAAGTTGTAACATGCGATTAATCGTGATTACATATGGTGATGAGTTTCCCTCGACAGATCCAGGCTCCTAAAACAGTCTTTTAGTTAGGAAGTGAATTCGCGCTTGTGCCGCCCGAAATCGCGCGTTTCGTTGTTGTTCTGTCAGCTTAAAATTAAATGAAAGCATTGGGGCAAGATCGGCGCGATTATTGAAATTTTACGTAAAGACCTCGAGCATGTAACAAATTGCAATATTAATGATTAGCGTTCTTCTCGCGGCTACATCGATACATCAACATGCTATTTATTCTTTCACCTCCCGTTCGCGTTATCTTTCGACATTGCAAATTGATCTGTCGCGAAGGCACAGATGCAGGCTGACACGTTATTATTAATATATCGCGCTACGCATATATACGGCGCAACAATAGCTGTACGTTTATTCATGGTGCCTCAATTTTCTATAGAAAATACGTTTATATGCAACTCACAATTAACGCTTACACCGTTCGGTCATATGCAGATGCAGAAACTTTACTCTTAGATATCGCGAGATAATCGCACACGCGCGTGCGTCGTGCCTTATACGTGTAGAATAAAATTTCCCTGGTACATACCATATTTCGCTAAATACATTCGTTAGGACTCACCAAGAGACGAAACACTCAATAGCGTAATTGTGAAACGTACATAACTCGTCGGCTCGATGCAAAAGGGATGTAGCGTGAAGCCGAATTTTTCAGTTGGTACTTACCTAGGGACGGAAAGTTGAGTTTCCAATTATAATAAAAATAAAATAAAAATAGAAAAGTAGTATTAACCATTTAACATAGAGATATTTTTTCACAAACCGTTAGTAGCTAAGATAATTAAAAGAATCTCCCCGAGAAAAAATATCAACTGAAAAGTCACCCTTTCTTTCAAAGTCGTAATCCTTTTGCATTGAACTAACGAGTTTTGCAGAATGTTCGTTGTTGTTGCTTTCTCGAGTCGGCCGTTCGCTTTCTCGCCTCGGCAAAGGAGAACGTTCCTGGGATTAAGAAGCACGATTTAGAGACCGTGCTGAAGCTAATGCGAATCCGCGATGTGAGAGCGATAGGATTGTATCTTCGATACTTATTAGTCGAGACGGTCGGCTTCGGAGACTGTGACAATATGTCCATCTATTTGAATAAGACGCGGATAAACCGGCTTTGTGGGATAGCAAATATACGCTGTGTTTTTAAACTATAATCATTTCTTGTTAATAGGAAATAGTTTCAAAGAGATATCAAGGAGAAACGTACCTGCCGTTTAATTAAATGTATTACGAGTTGATTCTGCGTTTTCTCGTAAACGAATCTAAAATTGCTCACTCCATGGCGCCGCGATGAGCAGAGTGATTTCATCGTTGGCGATCAATCATGATTCATCATTCAATGAGGAATGCAGGATACTAAATAGAGCTAATTCATCTTCAGTGCGGTGATAATCATGATATTCGTATTGTTACGTATGGCCAATCAAATTAATTGCTACATCTGTACTTGGCACTTTTAATGATGAATCTGATAATTATTGTAATTGATTTGTAGGTATTATAAGATTGCGATAATTGCCAATTGTATTATTTGAAAAGGTCATGTATGCCTCGGTACCGAGGCTATGTTTACTTCGCATATTTTTAGAGAGTCGCAAAGTACTAATCAAACGTTCGAGGGCAGCTAAATAACTATATACGTGATAATACTACTGTCTTACAAATTAAATGTTTATTTCTCAGACCATGCACTCCTTAGGCTGTGCAGTTTAAATATTTTTACAGCAAAGAATTTTACAAAAGTTTCCGATGCAATTAGAATAATTCTTTATTGATTCCGCCGAAAAACTTTTTCTATCGACACAGTTTTTGAAGGTAAGAATCCGAAACGGACATTTTGTCTTAATCATTCAAACAAATTGTCGTCTAGTTAATTTCAGAATCTCCGATCTTACTAAAAGTGTTACAGTGAAAAAAAAATTACTTATCATTATTGTGATTAATTTTTCGAGCAGGTACATCGACCGTTGTAAATATTGTAATACTGAACAACTTCCAGTATTCACGTAACTAGTAATATCAGTTCTCTCCTTTGTCCCCGTGTAATTATTCATGTAACTAAACCCGTATAAATATTGTCAGTTACCATCTGTAAGCATATGAGTTTTTGTGTTTTATATGGAGTATTTAAACGAGCGTTACATTTGTGTAGGCGCATGCAAGTCAACTGCTGCGGACTATTCAATCATATTTTATTCTAAAAATGTATTTTTAATAATAAAAAAATCGTTTTTAAAAATACTATTTAATAATTTTAATATTTCCATTGTAGACATACCAGCGTCGTCGTGTCTCTTTGGCAGAAACTTCACAAACCTATTTCTCAATTCTCACATAAAGACTCTAAGCTATTTCTACAAATGTCCAACGTTAACCACTGTACTTCACCGAGTGGGTGTAATAAGCATATTTTGCAAAAAAAAATGTGATGAACGTGGTTACAGCCCGCCCACTTAAAATAAGAAGGTAAGTTAGAAGGTCACAACAGAGGAGTCGAGTATGAAAGTAGAAAAATAGATGTTTCTGGTAAAACGAGAACGCACAAATGAGATACGATTTGTTAGAGGAATTATCATTATTAGCATTAATGTGTGACCATTCACGATGTTCTCATTCGGTGCATATTACGACATTATTATTACCACCGCAAAAGTTATAACTTTATCCATATATGTATTATATATATATACCTCACAAATTATAGTCGTCGACTATATCGTGAAACAAGAAAATATAAATTCGAATGTGACTAGCTAGTAATATATTAGAAATCATTGCGGTAATTATAAAAAATTGTTCTGCATATTTCATAAACGATGTTAAAAGAACATAACAACGTGCAAGAGATATAAACCGAGGCTACATGTAAAATTCATAGCTAGATTATTATATAAACTAAACGAGGAGCAACCATGCTCCTTCTAGGAAAAAAATTATCAATTGCAATCGATACCTTTCGCATAATTCGGATTACGGTACTTGTGCAGACAGAAATAAAAGACACGTGTGTTTTTAGATTAATGAATTTATGTACAAAAAGCATTTATCTAATATATCTTATTTATAAGATCAATGCACAGTTTGTAAATTCTAGTGTCTATGCTTATGACTATTATATTATGATACATACGCAGTCTAAAGCACGAGAATCATTTCGCGAATGATAAAGCTAAATATAAAAATACCAATGTGTGAATACGTATCGTTTTATATCGTGCTTATTCGTAGGAAATTTTATCTCATTATATTTAATCCGCGTTTCCCGAATCTGTCAAGGTGTTTATTGTCGTTGATATTATTAACAAGTGCAAAAGTTTAAAAAGAGTCTCCATGAGGAAAACGGTGAAACACGTGTAATACCCGGCATCAAATGCCATCATTCGCCGCAAAATTTTCGGATTGTCGAAAAGAAATTGACGATCATTGTGTGATATCGAACTTGATCTAGTAACATTTTCTTATTATTAATTTATATTATATCTTAATGTTAAAGCAACGGTTTCTTTTTTTGGATTATGTTAACTCAAAGTAGAAATGTAGTAAGTTGACATTCAGCCACAAAGGCGGCAAATGGCGTAAGTCAATTCTCGAAATAATCCTTTGTAATCGAAAAGGTGTTGACACATTGTTTGATATCGTTTAATACTTTAACTTTATATTTCTTATATATTTTAAATTCTTCTAAGGTTGCATCGGCAGTTTTGGCAGTTTTACGATGGAATCGACGTTTACCTGTCATTCATGCGGTTGGGATAATGCCATAGCGACGCATATACATAAAATTTGTGTTTAATTAGAGTAACGTTAATGAAAACAATGGAGTTCTAATTTTTGATAAATGAAGCTAATGGAAACATCACTTCCCGGAATAATGTGAACCGATGTTGGACGGTGGTCCTCTGTGATGATGATGATGCTTCTGTCCAGGACCGGAGTATCTACTTCCTGGTCGGGAGTGCACTATCGCGTAGTGATCGCTGTTCGTCGATATCGACCTCGTGGAATTCATGGTGGATCCCCCGGAGGCGTATCCTTGCTTCCCGTTTAACGAATACCTGAACACAAGAAGGGTTCTCGTTCAGGCACGCCATCGCATGCGTCATGATGTGTAATGCAAGATATTAATTGCTGTTATCGTGACTCTGCGACGTTTAAATATGATTTTACTTAGAAAAGGTCACGAACAGTTTCGCCTGAGAGCAACGAATTTTTTCTAATCAAGTATTAAAAAAATATATATATATATTACACACACACATGTATATGAATGAATTTGCATTTAATCCGACAGCAATTTCATTAGCTTATCAACAATCGATTCGAGCCACTTAAGTAAGCCGTATGGTGGATGCTGCACGGTTATACGTAATCATATATCATTGACGCAATTAATAGAGATACTTTGTCGGCAAGTCACGCGATTCGCTTTAGAGAGGTAATTAAGTCAAACCTCGACCCGTATTGAGAACCGTGCCAGCTGCGGTACGGATCGTAATCCTCAATGATTGACGGCTCCTTCTCGATAATGTCGGTCCGGGTGCAGCTACAGGTCATCGCCGAACACAGGAATATGTTGATAATGAGCATGATGAGGAATAATATCCCGAGTGCCACCGCCAGCCACAGAAGCCACAGCGGGTGCACGCTGCCGTCGTCGTACAATGTTTGTACAACTGGAAATGTGAAGAAATTACTGTGTAATTTTCGTATCGCGTAAGCATTCATGTATTTGTAGGTTTGCACGTGCGTTGTAATGGAAATACCATCAATTACAGTATTAGTATAGAAATTCCATCTGTTCAAATAGCAATTTGATGAAAGGAAAGTTATATGTAAGTAAACGGTCCAATGGGATAATTAAAAGTAACACAAAATACGTGCGTGATGCAAGAATTTTTCAACGATAAATTCCACTTTTGATAATGTTTCCAACTATAACTGTTTCAACGATACTGTTATTCCTCTGATCTCTCGCGCTGAAAATTGCATTATTCCGTTTTATACAGGATCTAGCGGGATAAGAGGAAATATTCAGTTTATTTCTATAATAATAATATAATTAATTTAAAAACATCAGTTCAAGAGGACATCGTTGATGACTGGTTGTGGAAATTATAGCGTGGGACTGTACGCCGGATGGACTAACGAAAAGGACTCCGTCCAGAATGCACGAAGTGTGATAAGCGGAATAAGATCACTTATGCCAGCTTGAGTATACATTATAATTTGATGACAGCCCTGGGCAAGTTGCGTGTTGGAGCGATTCGAATGCAGGTCAGGATGACGAAGAGAGACGACAGGCAACCATTTTGCGACGCTCGGGAAGAAGACATAAATGGGACACATACGCAAGAGAAGCAATAAGGGAGCGAAGAAAGAAGAAGACCGCACACATTCCCGACATGGCTACGTACTTTTCACGTCACGACAGCTTATCAAAGTTAACTGCACAGAAGAGCAGATGCTCCAAGAAGTTTCAGTGGACGTTATTCTAATCATTTCCATCGATCTCTTTATCAAATTGCGATAAGGAAATACTTTGTTTATATAAACCAACCAGATTTCCGGTTAGAAAAGCGCGACTTCTCTAAAAAGATAATTAAAAATTTACTTTCACTGCATACTTTCTATATAATTACGAGTTGTTAAGCATTTCTTCATTAACTATATTGAAAAATGTTCTTTTGCAATATATAGTTTACTCTGTATTTTCATTCATATTTTATTAGCATTGATAAAGAAATTCTTTTCCTTAAAAGGAAAAAGTAAAATTGAAACTAACGCGAGTCTACAAGAGAATCAAGAATTTTGTTAATTTGAAATTGACGCTCTACTTTTCCTTATACGCAAGATGAAGAAAACTAGATGGAATGTATTAAGAATAACGATAATATGTATAACAGTAACAATAACAGTTATAATTCGAACTGTGCTTACCTTGTTTTTCGCCTGGTTGGAGAACAAAAACGCTCGTTCCGGCAAGCAGCACTCCTTCTTCACCACTAACGCTTTGTCCGTTAGTGGAGGAGCCACCCTTGATCAGCTCTTCTTTGTCTCCTTCGCATACGGGGGTACCGCAGCTTCCTAAACACGCCAAGTTTACTTGCGTTACGTCGCAACGAAAAACCTCCTGATCAAGTGCTTATATTCTCGATTAATTATACAATAATTATAGGTCGGAAACATGTCGCGTTAATTTACAAAAGTACTGATAGTTTACGAAGAACAAAAAAATATGAACATCATTGAGATTAAGGGAGAATATTTGCTTCAAGACGTTTCGCATGCCATTTTTATGTTCAGAGCGACACTGAAACCAAATCAGCATGATGCTGATTGTTAAAACTTTTATTTGAAAGGGATCATAACTTTTACGATTTAGGATGTAAAAAGCAATTCCTCATAAAATAAACGAGAATCGCTATCTGCTGTAATGTCGCAACAAAACAAGTCGTAAAGTTGAATGCCATTTTATAACCCACATTCGTAACGAGATGCTAATGGGAAATCATTCACCGGATGAGTTTTACCTCTGCACACTGCGATGTCGCATTGGAAATGCACCTCTGAACTGTCAGCAAACCGGAACATGGAAAACAATGTGGCATCCGCTATACCGGAGCTCCGATCGTATATGAATTTCGTCATTCGCACTTTCACGGGGCAGCTTTGCAATCAGAACAAGTCACAATTAGCGGATCATTTCCATTGTGAAAGCGACGCTATGGAGCGCACAATAATCGTAAGCTGCGCATCTTGCTTTTAATCTTATCTAGATAAATCTCTTTGACCAGCAAAAAAATAGAGTTAAGATTAATTTAAACTTCTCTCAACTTGACGTTTTGCTCTCTTCGAAGTTTGAAATCCGCTTCGGCAAAGAATGAAACTTATAAAGAACAGAGACCTTCTCGTTTTGCGTAATAAGGAACTTCGCAATAGAAGTTTTAATGAAAATGGTATTCAATATGACTTCTAGAAGAAGCCGTTCACTTTTATTGTCACTTGAAAATAAGTTGATAATAAATCGTAGATCTGTGTTGGTAATAGATAGTTGATAACAGAATAGCGTCAATGGAAAATAAACCTTGCGATGTTTAACAAACTATCGAATACTTTTGCCTATTTTAACCATGGCATTCAAACATTTAATATTTATTCGTAGCGCGAATAAGTTTACAAGATCGCAAAATTTGTTAACATAAATCTTATCAGTTGGAATCATATCAATTAATCCGCTTT